ACTGAAACTAAGTCACACCATTACTAGACAGCTTTATATACACTCTTGCTGTATGTATGTGCATGTAATCTCTGCTTTAAAGGCTAATAACTCAGAACAAATTACAGTCTGATCATCTCATGGTGTTTTAATATGCTAGACAAGCATGTAGAGCTGTATGCATATAACTGAGCTAAGAGCTGAAAGCTCTGAATTGACAAACCTAAAATGTTGTTCTTCTGGTTTCATGATCAAAAAGGTCCATTAGTTGAGAGGTGCTATTCAGACTTACTGAATACTGAATTAACAAAGTGTGATGAATTGAATCTCATGAAGCATTCATGAGTTCTCAACACTCACTTAAAAAAAAAAAGGAGGAGGGGCCTATGTTAAATGATTTTAAAACCCTGGCTCTGACTGACAAGCATGAAAAATGGAAAGTGCAGAGGAAAATTTGGCCCCAAATCATAGTCAAGTGATAGCAAGTTAGGACAACAGCATTTATGTCTTTTCTTATAATGAAGGCCTCTGGCTTGCAACATTCTTAAAGAGCTATTTTTCTTGTTCGTTTTGCATGGAATTGAACCTTCGTGACTCTTTGATCATTAAACAAAAAGTATCTGTCCTAGTCACCAACAGCGAGCTCTATACAGACCAGCCAAGTGAAGCCTGGTGTGTGTAAGGGCTGAACTGCTCAAAGGCTGTCACCAGGGCTGTTACCGTGCTATTTGCAGGTGTGTGTGTGTGTGTGTGTGTGTGTTGGTCCTAGAGATTGAACTCAGGGCCTGGGTGCTGTCACCAGGGCTGTTACCGTGCTATTTGTAGGTGTGTGTGTGTGTGTGTGTGTGTGTGTGTGTGTGTGTGTGTGTGTGTGTGTGTGTGTGTGTGTGTGTGTGTGTGTGTGTGTGTGTGTAGGGCTGTTACCGTGCTATTTGTAGGGGTGTGTGTGTGTGTGTGTGTGTGTGTGTGTGTGTGCTCTTTTGCTCAAGGCTAATGCTTTATTACTGAGCTGCAGCTCCACGTCCAGTTTTCTTGTGGTTAATTGGAGATCAGAGTCTCACAGATTTTCCTGCCCAGGTTGGCTTTCAACAATAATCCTCAGATCTTAGCCTCCTGAGTTGTTAGGATTCTAGGCATCAGCCTCCAGTGCCTGTTGAGGACACTGTTTTTTTTTTTGTTTTGTCATCGAGGGCCTGAACTCTGGGCCTGGGCGCTGTCCCTTAGCTCTTCAGCTCAAGGCTAGCACTCTACCACTTGAGCCACAGTGCCACTCCTGGCTTTTTTTTTCTTCTTATGTGGTGCTGAGGAATTGAACCCAGGGCCTCAGGTATGCAAGGCAAGCACTCTACCACTGAGCCACCTTCCCAGCTCAAGGGACACTGTTTTTTAAACAGGAAAAATGATACTACTGATAACCAACTAGATATAAAAGTACAACTTTACTTGGATTAAATCTCAGCACACAAAGAGGCAGTAAGGCTTTTTGTTTTTTGTTGTTTTTGTTGTTGTTTTTTGTGCTAGTCCTGGAGCTTCAATTCAAGGTTTTGTGCTTTTCTTCAGCTTTTTTGCTCATGATCAGTGCTCTACCACTTAAGCCAACCCTCTACTCTTGGTCTTTTGCTGGTAAACAGGAGTCTCTCAGCTCTGTAGCTTCAAACCTGTAGCTACCCTCAGACCTCAGCCTCTTGATAGCTCGATTATAGGTGTAAACTACCTAGGCCGGGCTCAGGCAGTATGTTTTAAAAAGTGAAGAGCTCAAACCTGGACATCTATATGTAGAAAACTAAAACTGGATCCCTGTTTGTCACATGCACCAATTTCAACACAAAGTGGACCTAGACCTCAACATTAGATCTCAAACTTTGAAACTATTGCAAGATGGAGTAGGGGCAACATTAGAACTTACAGGCATAGGCAGGAACTTTTTGAAAGAGTCCCAGGGACACAGCAAATAGGAGAGAGACTTGAGAAATGGGATTACACCAAAATAAAAAGTTTCTGCACCACAAAGGACATAAACCAACAGAAAGACAACCAACAGACTGGAAAAAAATCTTTACCAGTAATACAGCCAACAAAATCCTAATATCCAAAATATACAAGGAATTAACCCTCCTCTAAAACTAACAACCCAATCAACAACAAATGGGCAAAGGAGCTAAAGAAAGACTTCTCAGCCAGGTGCCATTGGCACATACCTGTAATCCTAGCTACTTAGGAGGCTGAGATCTGAGGATCAAGGTTCAAAGCCAGCCCAGGCCAAGAAGATCTGTGAGACTCTTATCTCCAATTAACCACCAGAAAACCAGAAGTGGAGCTGTGGCTCAAAGTGGGAGAGTGCTAGTCTTAAGCATGAGAGACCAGGGACCAGACTCTAAATTCAAGCCCCACAAACAAAAAACCTCAAACTAAACAGAGAAGTTCCCTACAACCCAGCCATAACACTCTTGGGCATCTACCAAGAACATTACAAGTAAAGATCGTGTAGATATTTGCAATATCAATATTCATTGCTGCACTATTCACAAAATTATAGGAACAGCCCAGATGCCCTACAATGTGATTTTTAAAAATGTAGTACTTATAAAACAATGGAATTTTACTTATACATCAGAAAGATTATGTCATCTGCGGGGAAGTGGATGGAGCTAGAACCAATCATGTTAAGTGAGGTAAGCCAAGCTCAGAGACAAACTGCATATTTGCTCTCATATGCAGAAGCTAGATCTAAAATATAACTGGACATAACTTTACACAGGACTCTAGGCATTCTTATACAAACAGTCTGACTAAAGAGGATACTCTTAGTGGAGGAACCCAGAGGCATAACGCCTTAGAACATTATAAATACTATTTATTGATATAAATTCCAAGAAATGGAAACATGATTTTGTTGTTGTTCATGGTGGTTGTGTTTTTGCTTTTTTAAAAAATATTTTTATCATTTTAGGGGGGACAAATGGGGTGCAGGATGAAGAACAAGTGAACAAATGCAGTCATGGCATTCATTATACATTATATAAAAAATGAACCACACAACTTGTGGGCAAGGATGGGAGGGAGAACCAGGGGAAAAGGAATTGTATGCATTACTTGATTTACGGAATGGTAGTCCCTCTGTACATCTTAATAACAACAAAATCACACTGTTTCAAAGTGAAAAGCTCACTAATAGTGACATGCTTATCTACCTGGCCCAGTCAACTCAACTTTTAAAGACTCCTCTTTCCTGAAGGAATCAATTCAGAACCTCGATTTGCTTTAAATAATCTTTAAAACAAAGCATTTCATTGTTCAGAGGTGGGAAACCGGAAAATACTTGTATAGAGCTTCCAGAAATTAGACTAGACAATGAAAGGAGAGGCATGGGAGGGAGCGCGATTTGTAGAAGTGTGACTTCCTGAGCCTTCATGTAAGGAGAAAATTCCTCCTGTCCACTGAAGAGCAAAGGGAACAGGGAAAGGAGGACTGAAAATAATGTTAACAAGAAATTTACCTGATCAGACTGCTGTTGCCATACACAGACTGGTGGTTAAGAGGAACGAAGGTAGAACACATTTGGTGTATGGAGGACACTTTCTGGTTCAGATACCAACTTTGTCTTCATGATGGGAGAAATAAACTTTGGTGCAATCCAAGGGCTCTGTTGAAAGGGGACTAATCCCCCTTTCCAGGGCTCTGCCCTGATGATCTACTTACCTTCCGAAGGCCTCTCCTCAGAGCATCACCACAAGGGAAGGGGTCCCATACTGCATGTAAATTCAGCAGGGATATACTCAGCTGAGAAAACAAACATCGGTATTGGTGAACTACAATCCCTACACTGCCCATAAGGAGCATCAGAGTATTCCGTCCTCCCTCTTTTCCAAAAGACACAGTAGAATATTACTCAGGCATTAATTTTCATGGTCACAACACATGAAAAATGCAAAATGATGTACATGCCATGATCCTTACAAATAAGATACCCACACCTACACGTACTCACACATGAAAGAAAACAGACTGAAAAGATGTGGATTGAAATGTGAATGATGGTTTGCACTGTCAAAAAAAAAAGGGTGATTTTTTTTCTCTATTCTTTTCTTGACTTTTTTTGATGATCGCTATCCCATTTAAAACCAGAAACAATAAAACCATCTCCGCTCTGGAAAAAAGTCAGTTGGCAATGAACTCACATTTGAACTCAGGGCCTTGCAAGGCAGGTAGGTGCACTACTGCTTGAAATGCTTCCAGCCCTTTTTATAGCTTTGGTTATTTTTGAGATAAGGTTTCATGTGTTTCCTTGGCCAGCACAGACCATACTCTTCCCAGCTTTTTTGTTGAGCTAGGAGGACTCACATTTTGCCTGGCTGGCCTTGAACTATGATCCTTTCCCATCTCTGCCTACAAAGTAGCTGAGATGATAAGTGTGAGCCAGCATGTTTGGCCAGAACATTTTTAAATCACCAACTTACTGGGAAACTATTATAAAAAGGAAAATCACTAGTAGATGGGATATATATATATATATATATCCTATCAATATATTGTTGATTACACAATCCAGCATACTTTTCTTTTATAAGGTATTTTCAAAGATTCCTCAGTAAACTTAATTTTGGAAAAACTGTATTTGACATGGTAAATCCAACTCTAACAACTTCCTAATTTAGCTTGTGAAAATGAGAACATGATACTTAAAGTGAGATTTACTTTTATTCCACACGAAGGAACCCACTGTACTTTGATTTGGCTAATCAAATGGCCCAGAACTCTAAATATAAAAATTAAAATTTATAACTTAAATAAGAAAGTGTCTTCTATATATTCACTAGAGATAAATGTACTCAAGAATACACACACACACACACACACACACACACACACACACACACACACACACACACACACACACCCCTATTGATGGTACTAAGGTTTGAACTCAGGGCTTTGTGCTTGCTTGAGCAATGCATCCAGGCAATATTCTCAAAGATGAATATGTTATGTCTCTTAAATAATAATGACCCACAGAAGTCACGGCGGATAGAAACAGCTTTATTTTTCAAGTAGATTGATGAAAAAGCATACACAAGAGCAAAAGGACCACATGCAGCCCTCAGTTTGCCATAGAATCACTGGTTTCCTGCAGACCCACATTTGCATAAATTGCAATTCAAACACTTCCAACTCTTCTCACTTCATTTCCTTTACATTAGCCACAATATACATACTCGGGTTAGCTGCTCATATGGGTTAGCTTCTCTCTCTCACCTTTATTCATACTGAAACAATACAATGTCTATAAAACCAAACCATTTACTGTTCAGAAATCTAGAAAGATTCTTTTACATAATAGAGCCTGATATGCTAAGAAACCACACAAAACAGACATTTGCAGAATGATGGAAGAACAATAGGATAAACTGTTTGAAAGGAAAAATAAAACAATAATTCTTACCTAAATAACTTCAATCAAATGAATATATTTGTCTGATAATATAGCCTCTATATTTTAGAATATAAAAAAGTGCTCAGGATATATTTAACAAAAATAAGATAATGAAAATCTCCCAAAACAAATAATTTACATATAGACAGTAGCATGGGGAATCAAGATTCCATCTTGGCTCCAAGGCAAGGAGGCAGATGTGAACTGATCTGAACTGGGAAGGAAACTAAAACACTAAGATTGCAAACAAAGCTTCTTTCCTTGACAAGATGTAAACGGTCTAGTTTACACCTTTCCTCTTTAGAGGAAAAAAATCAGGTGTCTCAAATGACAAAGCTGGATCACTTTCTGTTTGTCCTTTCCAGCCATCTGCACATTCATTTGGCCACTGTTCAAAAGAACAAATACACATCCTTGAAGACGCCTGGACACTAGGGTCAACATTTTTCTCAAAAGACCATCAGCATGAGCACAGGGATGGAAAAGACATGCATTACCAAGTTGCTGTACAGCCAACCTAGAACGCCATCACAGGGCAGCTTTTGAGTGTAGAGAGAGCAGCCCTAACCTGAACTCTGCATGGTTGTGGGAAGATGCCAGCCCGTGCTTTGCTTCCTACTGCCATGGATCCCACAGGCATGCAGCCACTCTGGGCAAGGCAGGGCACAGTGTGGCTAAGACACTGGCCTGGCCAGCCAAGAGCACCATGTGCTGCCCTGCCCTTATCTAATAATCAAACTGTGTACCACACTTTCTGCACTTTCTTTGAAACTGCTCTTAAAATTTCATACACATATTCATAAGTTACTGTTGAGGAGACAAACAGCATATAGAACATAGTTTATATTAAAAGTGTGTGTGTACCTGTGTGTGTGTGTGTGTGTGTGTGTGTGTGTGTGTGTGTGTGTGTGTGTGTGTGTGTGTGTGTGTGTGTGTGTGTGTGTGTGTGTGTGTGTGTGTGTGTGTATACACAGCAACAGTTCTTTTCCCTCTCTGGACAGGATTTCAGATAACTCTGGCTTTCTTACTTTCCTTAGTATTTTAATTGCTTACAGTATCTATGAAAGTCATAAAATGAAGCCATCTTTAGAGGGGAAAAAGAAACTAGTTTCTGAAGGTGGGAAAAGTTCTCTCAATTTTGAAGGCAGTTTCGAGTTAGTCATTTAAGCCTGCTCCTTCGGAGATTGTTCTCTTGAGAGATTTACAAACCTCCAGCATCCTTGAGAGTACAGGATGTTTGTAATCGGAGGAAATGGTATTCCCTTTTTAATTCTAAACTCATAAATGTTACTATTAATGTTTATCAAAATTCAATGCGTTTTGGAGAAAAGTTTACAATCAGTAATGAGATTTAAACTATGAAGTTTTATATGGCTCTAAAAAAGAACTGTAGAAAGCAGAAAAATGGGCAAAAGGGTCTAAAGAGGGCTGGATAGTAGAGCCACTGGCAACCGAAGAGAAACCTGCTGAGAAAGGGCACAGAAAGCTTGCTGTCCTCACTTCCGACCTCACCATGCCTAATGCTCTCCTTGCACCCAGCCCTGTGCTCAACAAAACAAGTGAGGGGGAAAAAGAGACTAGTCTCTGCTTCAGGTCCCAAGGGCAACACTCACTCCCTAACTCACAACCAGGGGGCCAGAAAAGGGACAGAGCTCAAAATGACCCTACTGACTTGAATGTGGCTGGCACCCAGCCCTGAGAGCAGCCGGACACTAACCAGATTTCACTAAACTACAAGTGTCCAGAGCCCCAGGAATGGGGACAGATATACTTCCTTCTGGTAGGTTTAGATCAAGGCAAAAAGTGTTTTCCTTTCAAACTTCTGTTGCTTAGACTTTTAGAGACAGAACAAGTGTGTCACTAGGGTGGTTACAGAATTTATTGTCCAAACTAGGTGGCTTTGAGAACACAAGGAAACACTAGTAACGATTCACTCTAGAAGGAAAATGATGCCCAAATCAGACAGGAGTCAGACTGTCCTGGACTGACAGACACTCAGTGTGAACCTGAGCTGTCAGTGTCTGTACATCAAGATCTGCCACGAATGGTGATGCTGAGTGAGCGCATAGCCTGGCTGTCTACAAGATGCACTTCCTGCCTTCGTCCTGGTAAGTAAGAGTAACTCAGTGTATCCGAGGAAATAGTCTGAGTTCCTCTGACAGTCAAAACCAACATAACTGTGATGATTATTTGGACTCAATTCTTAATTTTACTTCCTAAAATAGTAATTAGAGAGGTTTAGCATATCTTGTGCCAGAAACAAACTTCTGAAATGACAAACCTCCACTATGGGGCTATGGTCATCACATATTTAAAAAATATCTTGTATTAACCATGGGATTCTCACAAATGCACTGTCACAAATGCTTTAGAAAGGCTGGAGGACAGTCGACGTGAAGCCATCTACACGGTGGGGGCTGCAGCGTCTCCTGGACGCAGACGTGAACAGTACATGGCAGGGAGGGTGGAGCCGAGGCGCCAAGCAGAGGGCACAAAGCACGTCAGTTCCTGAACAGCAGCATCCTCTCGGAGCACGCCTGCCCCACCAAGCTTGCGTACTGCTGCACTGTGGCATCCTCGCTCGGATCTTTCTGGTGCTTCTTGTAAACACCATAAGGCATGATGGCTTTCTTGTAAAATACCTGCAACCGGTCAGGTTCCTTGCTTCGACCTTCATCCACTGCAATAACAAAAAACTGAGGATCAGCAAGCCATGTGACAAATACCTTGTATTTTTTAGCAGATATGTTTGCCCAGTACATTCACTGGGCATGTTAAGAATAACAAATAGGAAGTACCTCACTGGAAGGTAATAAACATCCTGCAGTGTGAGAGGTGAACTTGAAGTAGAGTCACAACAAAGTTTACACAGCTCCATCATCTTTCAAGGGTCCAACTGTAAAAATACTCTGCCTTGCTTCTGTTAGCATCCTGTCTGGAGCTTCAGCTGACTTGGTGGGTGTGAGGAGTTGGGCCTGATTCTGGGAGAGGCAGACGGAAGGATCTCACAGCTTCCACGGACACTGTAGCCCGGGTGCTAGTGGCTGCTGCTATAGGACTTTCTCTTCTTTCATTAAAAAGAAAATAACCCTAGTTTATATCAGGACAGAGTCTGCCCAGTAGAATGCCAGTCCTCCTTGCAGCCAGATGTGGCCTCACAAACAAGTTCTGGCCAATGAGATATAAGCATTTTGTGAGTTTCCAGGGACTTCTCAAAAAGAACAGTTGACTTGTCTTCAGACTCTGGTTTTTGACCTTTCCTTCAGCCTGCAGCCTAGAACGTTGGTGTAATGGCAGGTGCACTAGTGTTTGAAGGTGCGCTTTTGCAGGTAAAGAAAGAATAAGACTGAACCTTGGTTCAATAAAAACAGAAGAGAGGAGCTGGGTAACAGCAGGCTTCATGTGACAGTGCTACTGCCATGTTAACCATGGCTACCTCTGTGTACAGACTCACATACAACATACTGTAAGCTATTCTTCCAGGTTTCTATTATGTGGAGCTGGTCTTAATGTAGAACATAAGGTACTGTCAGGTAAAGAAAATTCACTTTTAAGAACCATCATTTAGTCACAGCCATGGCCCTCATGCCAGCCTCCATATTGGGGTCAACTGAGGATTTTTAAAATACCAAAATATCTCCAGAACTGCTACCCAGAGGTTCTTATTTAAAAACTAGTCTGAATTGACGCCAAGCACCAGTGTTTTCTTCAACATCTTTATGACATTGAAAAGCATCCGGTGTACTTACAGATGCTCATGGCAGGGTCTGTGGCTGTAGAATTAAGTTACATTATATCCACAAAACGAAACATTGAACAACTATTACCACAAAAGCAAAAGCATGGAACAACAATTGCTTTTTAAGCTAAATGCCTAGGACAGGCTGAGTGTTCCTGATCCAAAAATGCTTGGCACCAGCCAGCTATGATTGAAATCCCAGGCTTGGGAGATGGAGGCAGGTGACTGAGAATTCAGAATCAGCATGGACTTATTAGTGAGACCCTGTCTCCAAACCAGGGAGAAAGAAAAAGGTTTGGACAACCTTCCAGAAGGGTTTCAGACAGTAAATTTGGGAATATTTTAGGGCTGGAACCCAAACCAAAACACAAAATCCATTCTGGCCTCACAGATAGCTGATGCACACAAGTCTGAAGGTCACCTTGTATGTATTTTTTATTTTTTTTTATTATCTTTAAGTAGTTGTACAAAGAAGTTCTCATTCTACAAAGCAGTCTATGAATGCAATGTGCTGATAACATTGTCACCCATACTCATCACTCCTAACACATCCCTTACCTCACTTTTCTTTTCTTCTTTTTTTTGTAAATTGAGATTAGGTGATTTCATAAATTGCATAAATTGTGGAATAGTGATACTTAAAGTCACATATACATTTTAACCTTCACAAGGCAAATTGTCATTATCATGGTTGTCTGTATTTTTGATGTGTCTGGGTTTGTGGCTGTGCCCCATCAGAGGAGGTCAGATGTGCCTGTGCCTCTACACAGTGGCCCCTCATCACAGCACTGATTTAGGCCACTTCTGTCACATAAGGAATAAATCTAGCCGGGAATGGTGGGTGGCTCACACCTGTACTCCTAGCTCTTCAGGAGGCCGAGATCTAGGATCGCAGTTAAAAGTCAGCCGGGGCAGGAAAGTCCATGAGACTCTTATCTCCAATTAACCACCAGAAAACTGGAAGTGGCGCTGTGGCTCAAGAAGTAGTGTGCTTGCCTTGAGCTAGAGAGCACAGGGACAGCGCCCAGGCCCAGAGCTCAAGCCCCATGACCGATAAAAAATAAAAACAAAAAATAAAGAGTTACAAAAGCAAAAGGCCTTTGTTTTATCAAAAGATTCACAATAATGGATTTAACATTCCAAAGACTTTTTAAAAGATATTTATTAAGAAGCTGGAAGCATATATTCACTAACATATTAAAAATACAGTTCAATGTGGACTCCAAGTAGCTATAAAAAACATATATTTAACTTAGCTCCGGGACTCTGTTCTTAAGCATTTTTGCTCAATGCTATCATTCTACCAATTGAGCCACAGCTCCACTTCTGGCTTTTTTGGTGACTAACTGGAGACAGGAGTCTCATGGATTTTCCTGCCCTGGCTGGCTTTGAACTTCAGTTCTCAGAGCTCAACTAGGATTACAAGCATGAACCAAAAGTGCCTGGTAAAAAACAAGTATCATATAAATTTAACAAATTGGTTCAAATAAACCAATTTACATTTAGTCAGTCTGTCACAGTATGTAAGACCACCACATTCCTAATATTCTTAACTTCAAAGTATATACAGGTCAAGGTAAAAAAATTAAGCAATGTCATTAACCTGAAAAAAAATAGTTTTGGTTTAATTCAAAGGTTGAGGAATTACATGGCCTTAATTTAAAATGAAGATCAAAGCTTCCATATGAGCAAAAATTTGCTTTGGGTTTATAAGGCTCATACAGATGACAGGTGAGAAAAATTCCAATGAAAAAGTTCAAATAGCACTACTATCATAAAGTTCTATGGAGCGATTTGATTATATTCTTTCTTAACCAATTGTCACATGTAACAACCTACTTGTTAGAAGAGACAGAATTCTTCACTTGGAAAAGTTGGACCTAAATGTGAAGTCAGAGCTCAGAGTTCGCACACCAAGGCTCAGACTGCAGCATCAGGATCAGAGTAGAATGTATGTTAGACAAACTGCAGAAGCATAGAAAAATTACCAGGGAACCAGGCCAGTAAGGGGGAAAAAAGAATGGATACAGAGAAAAGAGAAGCCCCTTGTGATACAGCATAAAATGACAGAAATCAGAGCCTTAGAGCTTTTGGGGATCAAACGAAGGAAAAGCTGCTTTCATTAGTTATGTTTTCAGCAACTGGTGGGAAGAGTTATGGTGTCCTAAAAAGTCTGCAGAGGAGAATGTATAAAGCACCAAGCCCAAATTGGGTATTGTTATTTTCATAGTCAACTTAAATTTGAAAGTTTTATTAATAAGTGTATGGCTTGTTTAGAGACAAATTTGGAAGTTTCTTGCAATCAAGTGTGCACAAAGGAATATAAAATCTATATTAATCTGAGCTAAAATGCATATGCTGCTATTGTAACTGAAGGTAGAAACAAAAAATATTCTAATACATCCTTTTGAAAGTGACTCTAAAAATTTTGTACTTATAATAAAAAATATTATATAGCATGCCTACTCAGGAGACTAGGATCAGAGGATGGCAGTGAGAAGATATCCTGAACGGAAAATTCTGTAAGATTCCATCTCTAATTAACTAGCAAAGGCCAAATTAGAAGCATGGCTCAAGCAGCAGAGTTCTAGCAATGAGCAAGGAAGCTGAGTGAGACTGAGCACCCAAGACCTTGCTACAGTTCAGGCCTCAGTCCCCACACAGCGTGACTCACTTTGTTTACGTACCGAAGCAGGGCACCAGTGGCTCACGTCTGTAATCCTAGCTACTCAGGAAGCTGAGATCTCCTGAGGACTGCAGTCCAAAGCCAGCCTGGTCAGGAAAATCTGTGAGACTCTCATCTCCAATTAACTAGCAGAAAAACCGGAAGTGGTACTGTGGCTCAAGTGTTAGAGTGAGCTAAAGAGTTCAGGGATAGCCCAGCCCAGAGTTCAAGCCCATGATGAAAATAAAAAATAAAGAAATAAATAAATGTACAGACATATTCATAGGAAAAGGTCAAAGGAGAGCATAACCACTAACGATGACTAATGCTATACTGCAGGATGACAAATCATTTTTACTATTACTCTTAGTAGTGGTTTTGAACATTTGGATTCAGGCACATTTTAAAAACTGAACCTGGTTCCTTGTGCATTCTAAGCAAGCACTCTACCATGGATCTACATCCTTTTCACATTTGAGCAAATTTTTGACTGGAGTTATTTTTTTAAAAAAACTACTAAAGCAAAGAAAGTAAGATGTATTTGTGATGCAGAACTTTTGGAACACATATATTTCTAGCTGTCAATCTAAAAAACAATCTAACAGACATTTGCTTAAAAATTGTTTGAGACGGCTGGGAAGGTGGCTCAGTGGTAGAGCCTTGCAATAATGAGACCCTGGGTTCGATTTCTCAGCACCACATAAGCAGAAGTGGCAGAAGTGAAACCTAACTCCTAACTCTGGACTAGGTAGAAGCCCTAAATTAAAAAACAAAAGATTAATGAGCAAGGTGATTTTTAAGAATTTTCCAAGTTACTTCCATTTGGCACAAAGTAGTTAAGTAAAGGTTTTTTTTTTTATTCTTTTTTTTTATTGTGAAAATACTGTACAGAGGGTTACAATTACATGGACAAGATAATGAGTACATTTCTTATCAAGCATTGTAGCCTCCTCCTTTGTTTCCCCTTCCCATCCCTTCCCATCCTCCCCCTGGCCCCCCACCCAATCCTTCTCACGCCCCCCCCCCTCGCCCCAAAGTTGTAAAGTTCGTTATCCACATAACAACTTGTACATCTCATTGTTGCAATGGGTCCACCTGTATCCTTATTTAAACGATTTGTTTTTCCCCTTCCTCTCCACAAATTATGCCGACATCAAATACAGTGAAAGCAGGGGTTATACTGTGGGGGAGGGACATACAAAGCAACAAAGAAATAATCTTATAAATGTGTTAGAAACAATTGCATGAAAGAAAAAAAAGACATTTGAATACATATCTTAGGGTTCACTTTTACACAGACTTCTTAGTAGAACAATTAAATCACAGATCCCCCAATCTCCAAGGAAAGGGAGACAGGTACAGGAGCAGGGCCAAGGATCCACAAGGTGCTGGGAGAGGGGTTTCAAGCAACACAGAGCAATTTAGGATAGAAAGTAACTTTTCTGACAACCCACCAAATGACCTCATGCTTTTGATGTTCTTTTTCATTTCATGCCTACCATGAACCAAAACATTTTAACAATGAAAAGGGGCAAGGGGCACTATAATAAGAATACAATTATGCCCTTCAGTGCTAAGACATGTATGCAAGCTAGGCATAAACGGAGTCATCAAGGTAAAATTCTATCATCAACACAGAAGCCTCTGGACAAGACCACCTATACTGCAACACTTTCACAGAGGGCTATGGTGATCCACTCACTCACACAGAATAACTGATCGATGGACAGCTGCGAGGAGAAATGAGCCTCAGTGAGCACAGCACCACGCTGACTCACATGACAGCCACGTGAGAGTCAGAGTGTGGATGATCATACGAAAGCAAAACTGGCCCTCGAGAAGCAGAGAGTTTCTCACAGACTGCTACTTAAATCTCCCATGACCGTGTTCCACAGCAGGCTCAATACTCTCCAATACAGAACTGCATTTTAATTTCCAAAAACCACAGGACACAGTCTGATTTCAAATAGTATCTAGAGTTGATAAAACTGAGTTATTCGCTTCAAAGTCCCAAAGACTCCACATATGGGAAGGGATCTTTATGTTCTTTGAGGAGCTCGTCTTAAATTTGCTTTGAGTTCTGTAAAGGAACTCTATAAACAGTGAGCAATACAATGAGCTACTGCAAGAGAAGCAGACCTAGTAAGTTATAGGGAGAACATGCTATTTGCCTATCACTCACTTTTTTTTTTGTCCAGTCCTGGGGCTTGAACTCTGGGCCTGAGCACTTTCCCTAAGCTCCTTTAACTCAAGGCTAGCGTTCTACCACTTGAACCATAGCTCCATTCCAGCTTTTCTGTGATTAACTGGAGATAAGAGTCTCTGGGACTTCCTTGCCCTAGGCTGGTTTCAAACCATGATCCTCAGATCTCAGCCTCCTGAGTATCTAGGATTAACAGATGTGAGCCACTGGTGCCCGGCAATAGTACATTCTTGATAAACAAAAACATATCACTATCAGACTTTAAACTCTTCTGTGCCATAAAATTGCTTATTAGTACTTATTTTAGAAAATAATTTTAAAATATATAAGCTGACTATGTACTTGATACCCAGTCAGTGCACAGAAATTATCCAGTCGGGGGGGAGGATGGGAAGAGATGGGAAGGGGAAACAAAGGAGGAGGCTACAATGCTTGATAAGAAATGTACTCATTATCTTGCCCATGTAATTGTAACTCCTCTGTACAGTATTTTCACAATAAAAAAAAAGAAATTATCCAGTCATCATCTCAATATTATAAAGTAACAAGAACTTAGCATTTCTTTAATCATTAAGTATGTAAGAAAAAGTAGCAACCTTTAAAACAAATTAAGCAGAAAGAAGAGATGAAACAAATTCAAGATTAGAATTACTGCTTAGCTGGAAGGAACTTATAATCTTTGATATATGAATATGAAATAATTCAACAAGGCTTTTTAGCAGCTTTCTGTATAAGGAACAGGCTTCAATCTGACCTGGAGAAAAGCTGAGAGAGGGAGGAGTAGATATTATATATTTCTACAACATTTTGCTTTGGCTATGGGCCTGAATTCAGAGCTGATAGATTAATTTAATGAATTTTTAAAGCAATGTATCTGTCTGATCAATGAAGTGTAACTAGGAATGAAAATGAAACAATCACATTCTGATTAATAACTTAAGGTGTGGTAAAGACAAAGCCTAAATGTCTGGGAACCCTGAGTCCAACCCTGGGAGCCTGGTGTGAGCCAGCTGGTCTGAGGGCCGCTCAGTACCAGGTTCTTTGAAGCTGCCACGGTAGTACCACCCTTGTTTTCATAACAGCTTTTAAAGAAGATAACAAAATACATTATATAAACCAATTTTTACATGAAAATCAAATTATGAGAAAAAATATACACCTTAGGACTAAGGAAATCCTTATATTACTCTCCTTGCTCTTTTGTCTTTTCATTGGATTTTCTCCATTTACTATTTTTTATGAGGTCTTCTCATTCCTCTCCTTTGTTTTTTTTCTGTAGTACTGTATTGGGGTTTGAACGAAGGACCTCATACAGGTCAGGAAGGTGCCCTAACACTTGAGTCCTGCCCAAAGCCTTTTGTGCTTTCATTATTTTTCAAGTAGAGTCTTGATTCTGGCCTGGGCTAGCCTGGACCATGATTCTACTTACAATTCCTGCATGGCTAGGATGAACAGACCACACCACTGCCCATATTCTTTTGTCTGACAGGAGGCCTTGCTAACTTTTTGCCCAGGCTAGCCTCAAATTGTGATCTTCCCCATCTCAGCCTTCCAAGAGCTAAGATCACAACAGGGTGGGCCACTGCAGCCAGCTCCTGCTTTGCTTGGGGATCACGGGTGATTAGCAAAAATGTGTATGCTCACACATTTCCTCTATGGTAGTTCAGGCCAACTCAAAGCTCAGCACAGTTTGGAATGTCAAGGAACCTTAGTCTGGGGAAGCCACACCTGTTAATATAATACAAGGAACCCATGCCAAAAGCATACAAACTCATGCCAACTTCACACAGCACAGACTAATTCCCAGAGCACTAGACTACAGGGAAGTAAACAGAATACACATACAGAAGATAGAAAAGCAGGCACATACTAAAGCCTGTGGCATCTACGTAATCAATCTTCTAAACTACAAAAGTAGGAGGATCTTAGCATGCCTGTCTTACTGTAATCTTTACTACATCTCAATAAGACAGGCTCTGTTATTGTTTTTATTAACGCGCATGAATTCTATGAAACTTGTATTTCACAATGACATTTCCATGTATGCACACAACATACTTTGGTCATTTAGGTGTGACTATTATTTTAATGGTTAAAGCGAGGAATGTGAAGCTATTGCTTAAGAGCACACAGTATACCCATTGGTATACCATGGAAGTTTGATTCTCAGGATATTCTTTTAGTGCTTGTACTAATGCCTAATGGAGAGTAATAGGAAACAAAATATGGCTGAGGATCCACTAGGCAGGAAATGGGAGAGGGAACAGGGACACAAATCAGAAATCTAATGAAGTATTGTTGCAAAACCTTCACAGCCTGTTTGCTTCCATGACACCAATCTGTAACTTTATGCAGAAATTGGTCAATATTTCTATTTTTCCCTACATTTGCATGTAATCAATCTAGTGAACAGATTTTAAGTACTGGGGTAACTAAAAGAACTGGATAATGGTATTACAGCCTGCAGAGCACATAAAAGCCAATCTATCAGGAAATGCCCATCTTATACATACACGTGTGCAAATGTACTCATTCCCACTCTACAATATATAAAAAGCTCCACAGCCCCTACAAAGAGACACAGACACACATATGGATTGTGAAAACAAAGGTAACAATTTCCTCATGAGCTATGCTCCAAACATACCTGCTTCTGGGTCCTGATTGAAACGACAATACTTGGAGTTTTCAAGTGAAGACAGGCACTGCTCGATGGGTACCCACACATAGGTCTCAGGACACAGCAAGTCAGAAGGTCTATACTGACCCTATGGAGTATAAGAAAAAAGGCACAGGCGTTATTAACATAGCAACTCCTGACTTCCAAGGCTCCAGGCGCACCAGAAAAGGTTGAATCACAAATTAGTCAACCAGAAACTATTTGACCATAAATACACTATACTATACCATACCATTGGCCAACCCCCATCCCCCATCTCAAGAAGGGCTCTCTAAAAGTGGTGCATTGACATTTAGGCATTGGTTAATTTGGAAGTTTTTAATTCTACACTATTGATGTTATTGTTGTTGTTGGTCATAGGGCTTGAACTCTGGGCCTGAGCGCTGTCCCTGAGCTCTTCAGCTCAAGGCTAGTGCTCTTCCACTTGAGCCACAGTGCCACTTCGTTTTCTGGTGGCTTATTGGAGTTAAAGAGTTTCACGGCCTTTCCTGCCCAGGCTGGCTTTGAACCACAGTCCTCAGATCTCAGGTTCTTGAGTAGCTAGGATTATAGGCATGAGCCACCTGTACCTGGCTTCTACACTCTTTTATAAGAAATATTTAAATAATTCTTGCTGAGATGATCGTTAAAAATACCTAGCTTCAAAATTAAGTTTTTATGGAAGTGGAGCTGTGGCTCCAATGGTAGAGCACTAGCCCTGAGCAAAAGCAGTTCAGGGACAGCACCCAGGTCCTGAGTTCAAGCCCCAGGACCAGCAAAAAAATTAAATAAAAATAAAAATAAAATTAAAGAACACCACTAACCAAGTTTTAAAATCTAATGAATAACAGATTGAACACAACAGAAAACTGTATAAAGTGAACTTACTTTACAAAATGAATTTCATAAATATTTAACTGGTACTGTTAACACTTATTCTGTTCTAATGTGTTAAAAATGCTGTCTTGTGGGGGGAGATAGTTGTGGAGGTGGGAGGGAAGGGATGGTAGGGGGGAAACAAAGGAGGAGGCAACAATGCTCAAAAGGAAATGTACTCATTACCCTGCTCATGTAACTGTAACCCCTCTATACAGTATTTTTACAATAAAAAATGTACAAAAAATGCTGTCTTAGCAACATAATTTTTTTTTTTTTTGGTCCGGTCGTGGGGCTTGAACTCTGGGCCTGGGCGTTGCCCCTCAGCTCTTCAGCTCAAGGCTAGCGCTCTACCACTTGAGCCACAGTGCCACTTCCGGCTTTTTTCTTTTTGCTTATGTGGTGCTGAGGAATTGAACCCAGGGCCTCAGGCATGCAAGGCAAGCGCTCTACTACTGAGCCACCTTCCCAGCCCAGCAACATAATTCTATAAGCAATCTAAACTAGGAAATATACAATTAAAAAGTTTAAAAAGACAATAAAAGTTCAAAGTAAACATTTAAGATCCTCTAAGCTTTCTTCAAAAATTCTATTTCAAGGGGCTGGGAAGCTGGCTCAGTGGTAGAGCGCTTGCCTTGCATGCCTTAGGCCCTGGGTTCAATTCCTCAGCACCACATAAGCAAAAAGAAAAAAGCTGGAAGTGGCGCTGTGACTCAAGTGGTAGAGTGCTAGCCTTGAGCTGAAGAGCTGAGGGACAGTGCCCAGGCCCAGAGTTCACGTCCCACGACCGGACCCAAAAAAAAAAAAAAAAAAAAAAAAAAATTCTATTTCAAGAAAATAGCACACCCCAAATGTAAAATAAGTTATATAATACATGATAAAGAAAAAAAAGTCATTCACTTATGGGTAACATACAGATAAAAAACAGAATGATACAAGTTAAGTGAAAGCAGTAAACATAGTATGTTTACCCATGTTAATTTACTACTGTATGATGCCCTTGGACTGCCAAAACTGTTTTCACAAAGCAGCAAATGGATCATACCAGTTTGAGGACCACTATCTAGTGTAAACCCACCTCAAAGAATACTGCTAACTTAAGGGCTCCTCACTAGTACACTGCTCCTCATAGGAAAGGCAAGTAACACTATTTGGGAAAAGCCAAGGAGCAGAGCAGAAGGAGAGGAGAGAAGAGAACAAGAAAAGGTCATAAGGTAAGTATGACCAAAGTACATCATATACACGTATGAAAATAGTGAAACCTATTATATATACTAACACACAGGGAAGGGGGAGAGAAGGAAGTGAGGGAGGGAGGGAAAGACAGAAGAAACCTACTGTGCATCACAAAGGTATAAAGTGAATGGCAGGCCCGCCTCCCCCTTACTCTAGGCGCTCCTGTGTATTGAATGGGAAGGCTATATATAAACAAAGTGCAAAGACACATTCATTCTTAAAAGGCTACTAAGAAGGTTCAAGAAGGATGTGGAATTTTACTGGAAGCTTAAAAGACTATATAGGCAGGATGGAAAGGAATGCAAGCAGTCTGGTTAAAGGAACAGCACAAGCAAAGACAAGAGTTCAGCCAAGCAGCAGGTAACTGAAGGAGAGGAAAGAGCAGTCCCTGCAGCAATGAAAAGGTGCGGTAGGACCAGATTCTGAGGGCCTAGTATATTTTGGACATCATGTGGAAGGAAAGGCTGTGGATAAGGCCAGTGTTGCCCTTCATTCCAGTAGAAGCAGGAGACAGGACAGAACCTAGCACTCCAGTCTCCAGCTCAGCGTGTGCTCACTGTACCCATGACCATCTTACTGGCTTAGGGTGGTTTTACATCACATTCCAACATTATGCAATTACAAAATTACAGAATTCTGTGCAAATGAATTTGTAATAAACAACTGCGAATCAAGTCAGGTATTCTACTGCTACTTATCTTATTGAAAGCAATGAATTCCAGAACTACTTTTTTTTTTTAAATCTAAAGTAGTTCATCTCTACATTAATTCAGAGAAGAGAAAGCATGACATGATACTGTCAACATATTACTAAATCTGAAAAAATGAGAAAGCAGTGTAAGGCAATAGCTCTAAATCTTTTATTAAGAAATCTGATATTAAGAAAAGCTAAAATAAAGGCTAAAAAAACTTGTAGGAAAAATAATTTTCTTGGTCTGCAGTATACAGATTTTTTTTAAGCACATACAAAATTATTTTTTTCAACAGAAGAAAATCTGGTACCTTGGGCTTCATATTATACTATTATACTATACTACGATTATTAAGTAGGCAAGCCAAAAATTGGGAAATTTACTCACAAGCCATATATTAGACAGCAGACTTAGATCTAGAACATATGTAAAATTTTAACTGCTCAGTAAAGTGATTTGTTTAAAATTTTTAAAGTTTTAATTTCAAAATTTTAATTTTAAAAATTTCACTTTTGTTTTAAATAAAAATTCTAAACAAATCACTTAAACACTTTACCCAAGATCTCTGTCTAATAAGCATAAGAAAAAGATGTTTAACACCATTAGTTATGAGAAATGTACCTTAAAATCTTAAAAGTTACTAATGTAGCTCTTACTCAAATGGTTAAAATTCAGTAAGTCAGAAAAATAAAAATTTGGCAAGACTTGGACCATGTAGAAGGCAGATACTGATATTTAAAATGATAGAGTGTTAGCTGGAACAGCAATATTGCTGTTCCATCAATTGTAGAATGGGTTAGGATAAAGTCTTTGAACTGTAGTCACTGGGTGAAGTGTTTTAATTTTTACAGTGCCAAACATTTTCCCCAGAAGTTGTGCCATTTTACATTTCCATCAATAATGTTAGGTATCTATGCTCTAATTTCCTCCATATGCTTACTGCACACTATCAAAACTTTCCATCTCTGCCCACCTGAAAAATGGCATTTCATTGGTTTTAATTTATGTAAGATGTTCTATGCATGTAGAGGAATATACGTTTGCTTTACAATAAAACTAGTCTGTTTTGTTACTGCTGGCCTTAGTAAAAAACTCTTTATCTATTAAGGAAATTAGCTCCTGGCTTGTAAATGTTTCAGTTACTTTCCTAGTACGTTGTACTCTTACTCCTTGTGGAAACCTGATATGTGGTCAAAACCATCAGTTTTCAAGAAGGGATCTGGTCTCTGCACAATAATTAAAGAAGCCACTCTCATTTGAAAATTATAAAAACATACTTTTTCTAGTATTGTTATAGATCATAACTTTACATTTACATTTATGCTTCATCTGGAATTTATTTGGGTATAAAGCAAAAGATCCAACCTAATTTCTTTCAGATGTTTTTACTCAGTGGCTTCAACATCATTTTTGGGATAATCTTCCTTTCCTTTGCTGATTTAAACGCTTCTTTGATAATGTGTTAAATTTCTATATATACTGAGCTCCCCTTCTGGTTGTCACACTGATCTGTCGGTCTAGTCTTGTGCCAATGTCACATACTTTTAACTACTAAAGATTTATATTTTAATCTTTGGTAAATCTAATCTCTTCTCATTACTCTCCATCTGCAGAAATTTCTGATCCTTTTGCTAAAAAGGGTTCCCTACGTGGTACAAAAACACTGCCAACATGATTAAGGAAACTAATAAAAATGGAATGGCACATATTGACACTGTGATGACAGAACATAAAAGAAGAGAATTCCAAGAATGTACAGTGGGAAAACCATATACACAGTAAGCGCCTCTTAAATTCATAGGTTTACTTCATGCAGTTTTGACTAAGCAGGGTAAAAAAACCAAACTGAAATAAATGAGAAGAAATCCCAAACACAAAAAAATTAACTTCCCACATATTTCACAGCCAGGTGATAAGAACAGCCCTCAGGCCTGAGTTTGTCATTAGTTGTGCTGAAATCCTGTGTGATCTGTTTCCCTGCCCTTGATTATATGAAAATCTGCCTCCCAAAAAACAAACCTTGTCTAAAAAGCAAGGTAATAGTTATGATAATTCTTTCCAAGTAAAAAGGAGCATGTGATGTGCTGAATGTTTTATATGTATGTGCGTGTGGGTGTGTGTCCACGTGCGTGCTCGCACCTGTGTGAGCATGTGCATACGTGTATGCATGCTGGTCCCGGGGCTTGATCAGGCTCTGGGTGCTATCCATGAACTTTTATGCTTAAGGCTAGCATCTACCACTTGAGCCACAGCTCTGCTTCTGACTTTTTGGTTGTTAAGAGATTAAAAGAGTCTCATGGATTTT